GGCAATTCAGATTCAGCTCTAAATAATTCAAATTCAGTTTCTACTGACACAAATATCAGCCCATACATCCTCTTCAGACCTTTTTGGAATAAAAGTGTTTTAGGCAGGTGGATATCAGTCTACATAAGTAACATTTGATTCCTGCAGTCATTAGTAAAGCCTGTTACATTACATATCATCCTCTCATCACAGAGGCTGTTTTTGTAAACAGTTTGCTTAGCTGTGGGCTGTTTGCGTTCAGGTTACAGCTGCTGTGTGTCCAAATCTGAGGCGCTAGTTGAGCACAGTGTGAACAGTGCCGGCCAAAATGATACACAGCGCCGCAACATCACGCTAAATCTCAATAGATTTGCAAATCTGAGTACATTTTTTTTTTTTTTACACATTTACAATTCTGATTACGCACACACAGCTTGAGATACAGTTACACAACTCTCCACTCACATTTTACATCACAGTAATCGTATAATTCAAATTTAAAAAACACGTTTTATGGTGGAGTACCTCTTTAAATAGACCTGTCATCATTGTTTCACACTCGTATAAATTAAGAATAATAAAAAAAAGTCAAATAAATCTAGATCATCTTAATGATCAATCACAGATTAGCATGAAAAGAACTGTATTAAATTGATAGAAGAAATCCCACCCTAAGGAAGTTAGCAGCAACCGATCCTCCTCTGTCCTCCATCGCCACTTTACACAGACTGCCCTGTCCCCTCTTACATGGCCTGCAGGTATTGCTGTTGAGGCATTTGAATTTCAATAATGGATCAGATGAGAATAGAAAGAAGAGAGAAATTTTGTTTTATCGATGATACTGATATTTGTTAATGGATTCTTTCATTGCATTACTCTTTCAATATTTTGATCTCCATTTTCACAAGTTTCGCAGCCATCATAGTTTTAGAGGGGATTGTAATCTGCAACTACACTGCTAGATTCCACTAAATCCTACACAGTGGACCTTTAATCTAAGTAACTTGCAACTATGACACGTACCAAGGCTAAGACCTTGCTTCTGTGCCCCTTTGCTGCATGTCCTCCAATCTCTCTCCTCCCTTTCCTGTCACTCTACAGCTGTCTCTGTCAGTTAAAGGCAATAAAATCAAAAATGTTTTTGAAAAAACAAACAAACAATGTTGTTTAGTAGATGTAATTTCCGACACATATTGTCTTTCCTGCCACACAAAGTCATTATCACAACACATATTTTAAAATAAAATTCATAAAAAATAACATAATCACTCAAATTATACTGTGCAGTGTTGACATTTGTGCAGTTATTCAAATGGTCAACTTTACAGCAGAAATTTCTTAAAAATATCTGAAATATATTCCTTTGAATATGAGCTGTTTGGAAATGACAACAGGTAAACATATTCTTGATTAACCAAACATTTGATATATTCCTATTTCAGCTTCCTTCCTGGCGCTAACTCCAACTACATGCTCTCCGATCACATGCTATAGCTGAAGTCACTAAGTATGCTAACCCTAAAAAAACATCCCTGAATTTCCTTTTTGTATAGTGTGGTGGAAATGACGAGAGTTCCTCATTATGCAAAATTGTAAGTGGCATAACTTAAATAAATATTTGAAACAAATTTGAATTTTTGGATTCTAAACTAATTTGGTTTTTAAACAATGACTTCACATCAGGAGGAATCCACAGAAAACAACCTATTGCTAACCAACAGCAATTTTAGGAAAAAAAGAGGCATAGACACAAACCTCTGTTTACATCAGAGGAGCAGAGGTGGGGCAAAATTCTCCAAATTCTAGTTAACTTTTACAGAGGAGCGATAGAGAGAATACTGACTATCACAAACTGGCATGGGATTGTCCCCGACCCAGTACAGGGGGAAAATATGCCCAAAATATCAATGGTATTTTAAGTTCAAAATGGTTTTAAATTAAAGTCTGTAAAATTTAATTGTAAAAATGCTTTTTTAAATACTGATCAAACTACATCAAATTTAATTAGAATAATTTTACAGTTTAAATATTCTAATATTCTGCTGATAAAGTGTTTTGTTTAATTATTTAAATTAATATACAATATTTTCAGTGATCAGCCAACTGAAATGCATGTACAACACTGGTATTGTCATTTCCATCTCAATATTAAAAATTATGAAAATTACTGTTGTGGAAATGACATTTTTCACATCACATCAAATGCATTCAAAATACACTATAAAACGTTGTTTTTCTAATTAATTGTATGTTCAAAGGAAATTGAGCTGACTGGAAATGACAATAGGTAAACATATTCTTGATTTACCAAACATTTAACATTATTTATTCCTATTTCAGCTCCCTTCCCGGCGCTAACTCAGTCCTCCAACTACATGCTCTCCAGTCACATGCTATAGCTCAGATCGATAAGTATGCTAACCCTAAAAAAAAAACATTCCTGAATCTTACAGTGAAGTGAAACTCCCCCCCCCCAGGAGAGTTTTTCATGGTATTCAGAAATTGTAAGTGACATAACTTAAAATAGTGGAATTTTAGTATAAAAAAATCAACCCAGAAATAACAGTTGTTGTTTTCTATTAGCTTATAGAGACCAAATCCTTTTTTTTTACCAGGTTGTAAACATTTCTGTTGTAAAGTTGCCATTTTAATATGGGGCCTTGTGGATACACACCCCAAAACATCCCAACAGGAATCATTTTAGCATTTCAAATAAATTTTTTAAGACATTTATCTCCACACATCGATCAAATGTGGTTTATAATCCATTCATACTAGATTATCTTAAAAGAAAAAAGAAAACGGCAACAATATTATTTCTTATAATAATAAAAATAATATTGATTGAAGATGACATTTTTCCTTTCAATTGGACTTTGAGGTAAAGTTATTAGTAGTACTACTACTACTACTACTACTACTACTACTACTAATAATAATAATCATACCTTTATTTGCATACCACTTATCTAAACAAGGTTACAAAGTGCTTGACAAAACAAAGGAGATTAAAACAAACAACAAAATATAAACAGTCAAACGAAACACAGTTAAAATATCAGAATAAAATAAAACACAAGAACAAAACTAAGAATTGCAAGTCAGACATCACAAAAGGCTTTCCAATAAAATATGTTTTAAGCAATGATTTAAAAGCAGTTAATGTGCTGACAAGCCCCAGCTCCGTATCTACTACTATCTGTAGTAATGGGTCGACAACTAAAACATGTTTTACTTGGATTACAAGATTTATTATAAGAATGAGCTGGAGTTATTGGGCTTATTAAGACAATTTGTTGCTGGCTAATCACAATAGGTATGGACAACAAAGTTGGTTGTTCTGGGCTGTTACAGTGAGTGGGAACCAAGTGTGACCCTATCATGACGTCATCCGTTGGTTTGTGGAGCACCGTTTTGAAGCCTCGACAGTTAGACAGAGCCAGTGGAGGTGACGCACTGCGAATTGAGCTGCGCTCATTGGCTGCGAAGTTTCGACTCGTCCGTAGCAGGAAACAATGGCGCCTTGCCTGGTCACACACAATCTCATATAACAAAAAAACAGTACACTTAAATTTGTTTTTGAAACAATTTTAGGTGAGAAATAGGCAATGCAGTAACAGAATCTCAATTCATATTTGATCAGCACTGCCTAGTTTGACAGTTTGATCTGAGTTTGGTGCGTTGAGCTGGATGGACTCACTGAGAATGACCTGTCAATCACAAGGTAGCCACGCCCTAAAGCATACCCTGCTTTATCATCTATTTTA